TGGAAAAAAGAGGATGCTCTCCAAATATTGATAAGGAAATATCTCCAGGATATATTTACTCAAAACAGTAAGATATAAAACGATGTCTAGTATGCTATTTTTATGTAATAAAAGGGGGAGAAATAAAAATAAATATACCTGTATATGCTTGATTTGCATCAGGAAGCATGGGAAGGACTCCCATGAGTGCAGTGGAGGAGTTACCTGGTCCTGGGTGGGGAGGGAAGCTGAGGGGAGAGTGGATGGAGCCCCAGGCAGAGGCCAGGTTTCTCAATGTGTGGTTTTTTAGGACATTTTAATTCTGAGCTATGTAAATATATTACCATTATAAGAAAATTAAATTTAAGTTTGAAAAATATACCACTAGGAGAAGAAGGGTCAGGGGAAGGAAAGTTGGCCAGTTGGTCTCCACATTCCCTTCAACCTTGATGGATAGGCTGGGGGAGGAGCTAAGAGATGCCCACACATGCCTATCTCCAAAGGCAGGGGAATGGGAGGTGACTTGGGCCCAGGGGTCTGGGGAGGGTGTTCTGTGGCCACCAAGCTCATATGCTGAGTGGCCAGGGCCTCCCGCTGCCTTTTAGCATACACAGTTGTTGGAGAAGCCCCCCTGTGCCCAAGCCTCAAGCCCTTTCCTTGCACCCTGCCTGGCCTGGGCTTGCTGTCTCCTGGGGCAGTGGCCAGAGGCAGCCCTCATCAGCTGGCCAGCCATAACCTCCTCTATGCTGGGATGACTCCAGCTGACACCAGCCCCAGACTGTGGCCTGAGGTGCTGAACAGAACCGCGGTGGAGAGGTTCCTATTCTCTGGCTCTGGAACAGCTTCTTGGAAAAATCACGGAGGTGGCTTTCCTCAATCCACCTCTGAGCGGAGAGAAGAGGGTCTGTTCTGTCCTGTGGCCTTGGGCTCCTGGCTGCCCTCCTCAGGACCAGCTGCTGGCTGCCAATGCATGTCGCCCTGTCTGTGCGGCTGGCTTCTGTCCGAAAGTGCCTGTAGAGATGCAGGTGGTCAGAGGAGAGTCGGCAAGGCTTCATCAGCCCTTCTCACTCACTTGCTCCCGGATGGGCCCCTTAAGCATTTGGGTTGTGAGCCCTGACCACATTCATCACCCTCTGCCTCTCTAGGTTCACCCGCAGGCCCACCTGGGGCAGGAGGGGAGGCGGCAGGACCTTCCCACGGGTTCAGGTGGGAGCACATGGCACGAGTGCCCGGCCATGACTGTGATGCCAGATGGACCCCACCCGGCTCGAGACCCCCACTGCCCACCCCTCCTCCCCGTCCACACACTGCCACGCTGCCAGGGTCTATCATGGTCTCAGGGATGGGTTGTTTCCACCCAGGGCAGCAGAGTCACACATGGGGCCTCCTGTCCTGGAGCAGAGACAGTCCCCAGGGCAGGTGCTCTGTGAGCTGAGGGACAACATAAGGACATGTGTCCTCCCCCTGGCCCAGGAGGACGGCCCAGGGCAGGATGCCGGCAGCAGTGGGGGAGATGGAAGGTGACCGGTGGACTGGGTGGCAAAGGGGACTGGACACTAACCTGGGGAAGCACAGTGGGGCAGCTAAAGGGATTGGGAAGAAGAGACCAGAAGGCAAGGTGGTGCTGAGAAGCCCAGCTCTCCCTTCTCCCTCTTATCTGGGATGCACCCTAACCTACACTTTTCAGATCTGAGGGCAGAAGACCAGGAGGGAGTGGTCTTCATGGAGAGGAGATTCCAGCTGATGCCTGACCAGACTGGGGCAGATTTCACTGTGGCCCCATTTGTTTCCATGACGGCTACAGGAGGTGGGACTAATATCCCCATTTTACAGAGGAGGAGACTGAGGTGAGACTTGCCCAGGGATGAGTAGAGCCACTAGGTAACAGCAGGGCTCCTGGGTGTGTCCCAGGTCTGCTCTCTGAGAAACTGCTCTGGGCCACCAGGAGCAGATCTGCTGGGGAGGACAGAGCTTGGGCTCAGGAGCCAGGCTTGGTTTCCTAAAGGTAATATGGGAAATAAACCAGCCCCAGGCAGGGTCACTGGAGGACAGTGCAAGGTGATGTGTTTGAAGCACCTATCACAGAACTAGTCACAAACTTCACCTTCCCTGCTTCCCTCCTTCACAACCTCAGTGAATAAACCCAGCATTTGCAGGCATCAACCCCAGGTGTGTGGGGACCCAGGGAGGTCAGGAGTCTAGAGGGGCAGCAGTAGCAGCTCTTCCTTTTATTAGGATCAGTGGTGATGCTGCTGTTTATGGGTCCCCACCACCCCCAGCCCGGGGCTGGACACCCTGCCTATGGGATCTCAGTCCCCTTCTCAGCCCCTTTGATGGCTGGGGACCCTGAGCTCACAGAGGGAGACACTCAAGCCAGGTCTGCTGACTGAAACTGGAGTCTCTCTAGAGCATCAACCCATGTGCTTCCCACGTGACTGTGCTTCCCTCAGCTGAGAAGCTGGCTGGGCAGGAGGCAGGCAGCCCGGGAGAGGGGCCGGGGCCACAGCACATGCTGCCCTCTGGGGACTGACCCTCAGCTCGGGGCCCACCTGGGAGGTAGGGGGGCCTCCCCAGCTTTTCTCTCCCCTAGGGGCATCCAAACCCCAGAGCCAGAAGCAGGAGGTCTGGTTAGAGATTTCCTTTGGGAAAGCTTTTCCTCTGGGAATCCTTGTTCCTCTCCTTTCAAGGAAGCCTGAAGCACTGGAAGGAACTTTGGGCTGGGAGTCAGGAAGCCTGGGCTCACCTTTCAGGCCAGGCTGTACCACTGTACTATCCCTCTCTGAGCCTCAGCTCAGTGGCTGAGCAAGGGCATCTAGAGGGTCCCTGGAGCAGCCGCCTAACCATGTTAAAGACCCAGCCCCTCACACCACCTGCCAGTGTCCCTCCCGCAGGTTTTGACTGCAAGGCCGCCTGGGGGGCGAGACGGCCCAAGGGCTCCACCTGGTGGCCACGCACAGCCAAACATGCAGGCACACCCAGCCGCTTCCGGTGTTCATTAATTAATCTTAAGAGCAGAGGTCATGACCCTAAAACATGGGAGACAGGGCAGGAGAAAACCCAGAGAGATCAAGGTGCACCTCCCCTGCCCTTCCCAGACCAGGCTTTCAGAGTCAGTGGTGCAAATGGAAGGTACTGCCATTGTAAATCTGTCTGAGTGTAAAGCACTGGAGTTTGGGGTCAGATGGGCCTGGACTTTAATCCCTGGGGTTCTTAACCTCACCTTGAGTCGCTCACCCATGCAGTGGGCTATTTAGGGCACAACCTGCAGGACTGTGGCCCTCTCTCTGCATGAGCAGGCAGCCAAGGGAGATGGCAGGGTCAAGGCTGGATCCATGACAGGTGTCCACTTGGTGGTGCTCAGCCCTTAGGCCAGTGGCTCATCCATGGCTGCACATCACAATCACCTGCCGCTTGGGCAGTGCTTCTCAAAGCATGGTCCCCGGACCAGCAGCAGAACATCAACAGGGTACTTGTTGGGAATGCAGATTCCTGGGTTCCACCGACCTTCTGAATCAGAAACTCTGGGATGGGGCTCAGCAGCCTCCAGGTGTTGCTGGTGCTTGGTCCAGTGTGAGAACACAGTGCTTAGCTACTGGGGGGTGCTGAGAAAGCTCCTCATGTGATTCAGATGTCTTAGGATTCAAAATCACCTGTGAAGGTCAAAATACTAACAGGTGCCTGCCTCACCCCCTCTCCCGCACCCTAACTTCCACCCCTAGGGAGTCTGGTTCAGTGGAGCCGAAGCAGGACCCAGTCAGGGATTAAAATAACAACTCCGCAGCTGATTCTACTGCACAGTCTCTGCTCTGGTTTGGATCCTTCTCTCCATACCCTACTCATGCTCTTCCTTTAGAGGGCCAGGCCCTGCAGCAGAGGGCAGCAGTTGTCGTAGAATGCCGGGTTGTGTGCAGGATAATCACGTTACCGAATTTGGAGGCTGCTTGAGCTGTGACAGGCATGGTCCTGGACACTTTGTTACAGCATCTCACAAGAACCCTATGAATTGTTAGAAGTTCCTGCTTTACAGATGGAGAAACTGAGGCACAGAGAGGTTAAGTAATTGGCCCTAGGTCACACAGCTACTAAATGGCAGAACCCAAATTTCAACCTAGTTCCCTCAGACTCCAGAGTCCACCACCTTTGCTTCCTTATTTTACAAATGAGAGGAGGGATGACTTGCTGAAGGTCACCAGGGGTGGCACCCATCACTCCTCCTGTACCTTTGCCTGGAAGCTCACCAGTGCCCTGGAACCAATTTCAAGATGGGATGAATGGACCTCTGAGTGGGTGTCACCCCCAGGAAATAATGCCACGCTCCCAGGAATAAATGCAACTGGAAAAGGGAGGAGGAAGCAGGGTATTTTGGGTTTTTTGTTTTAAGTTTTATTTATTTATTTTGCTGCATTGGGTCTTTGTTGCTGTGCACAGGCTTTCTCTATTTGCGGTGAGGGGGGCTTCTCTTTATTGAGGTGCACGGGCTTCTCATTGCAGTGGCTCCTCTTGTTACGAAGCATGGGCTCTAGGCGCGGGGACTTCAGTAGTTGTGGCACGTGGGCTCAGTAGTTGTGGCTCGTGGGCTCTAGAGCGCAGGCTCAGTAGTTGTAATGCATGGGTCCGTGGCATGTGGGATTTTCCCATACCAGGGCTCGAACCCGCATCCCCTGCATCAGCAGGCGGATGCTCAACCACCACGCCACCAAGGAAGCCCTGAGGCAGAGGTATTAATTAAGTCACAGGAACTTCTTCCTGGACCCATAGGATTCAAGACGTTAAGGAAATTGACACTTGTCCCTATCCTGGCTCAAGTGTTCGTTGTCTTATCAGTGCTAGGTGGTGTCCACCAACACCCGGCTCAGAGAGAAGGAAGAAAAAGACAAGAGGAGAAGCCGAGGGAGTAGAGAAAATATAGAGCCATTTTATTGCTAAAAATGTTTTTCCAAAAACAAGGGCATTTTTGTTTTGAAGAGATGAAGGTCTGTAGTCCTTGGGGAGGGGGCTGAATACCACCAGATGGGCAGCCCTCATAGTCCTCGAATTCTCCTGGAGATTCGGTAGAGCTCCATTGTTGCCCTGGCGTCTTCCACCGAGTTGTGTCCCGACACGCTGTTCTGCAGATACAGGTGCAGAGTGGGGACTTGGGGTGCGGCTGAATCCAGGCGCCCATGTGACCCGGGCCTTCCCTGCTCACACCCTGACTTCCGGGGCTGAAGTGGGTCAGTGGGTGTGTCTCCCCAGGCCTCTGACACCCTGGACTCAGCAGGTGGCTGGAGCAGGCCTGGCTTCACCCATTAGCACTAGGGTGAAGTGCCCAGGCATGGCCAGGCACAGAATCCAGCATCCTGAGGGCCAGGCTGTGCCCTCCAGGCACTTAGGATCCGCTGAATGTGGACCGGGCACTGCAGACTTGGCCTCAGACCCAGAGGGGCTGAAGCAGTTCTCACAGGGAGCCCCAGGGCACCGAGGAATGTGGACACAGATGTTTCTAAGGGGCTCCTTGCTCAGCACGTGAACAGGGCTCTTCAGTGAATCCACGTGCTGACATTCTGTCCTCAGTCCCTGGTGCCACAAGCCCAACAGAGGGGCCCAACCTCAGGCCCATCCCTTGTCTCCTACATGTTCCTGCTCCCCAGCCACGCCACCCCCCACTCCTCAGTCTGGGGCTCGGGCTCTCCCCTCCCCGGCGCCCCCTCTCTTGCCTCCTCCACTAAGGCGCCCCCATCACACTCCACTCAGACCTGGTGTCCTGCCTGCCCCCCGTCCTCCGTCCCTGCTCCAGGACACCTGCCCTCCCCTCTGTGGACACGCCCCACAGATGTGCTGATGCTCAGGTCTCGGGCCACCCTCCGTTCAACCACGAGTTTCTCAAGAATGGACTGGGCCTTGCTCGCCCGGGTGCTCAGCCTCTGGTCCAGCCTGGCCCAGAGCAGGCGCTTCATAAACATCCGCTGAGCTGGAAGGGCCCACAGCTGCGGCTGTGGCCGCAGCTCCTAGTGTCCAGCCCGCCTCCCTGGGCCCTTCCACCTCCGTGAGCTCCCAGGCCCCAGCACACGCCTGCCAGCTCCTGGAGACTGCTTTGCCTGTGGGTTTGAGCTCAGGGTCCCTCTCTCACTTTTGGAACCCCCCTCGTTGATATCTGCCACTTTCCTATCTGGGGGGCAATTCCAGAGGCTTCTGCCTGGGGCTCTGGGGGGGGCCTGCTCTGTCTGTGGCTGCAAGTGCTGAGGAATTAGGGCCCCGGGAGCAGCATCAGTTCCTGCCTAAAGGGAGGTGTGTGTAAATAGTGCAGCTCCCTGGATACATCTGCGCTCTGTGCTCTACACCATTTTGCAGAGTTGGGCAGGGGGATTAAGCTTCAGTTACCCACAGGGAAACTGGCATGATTTTGAAAACACACAAAAACGCCTTGATTGGGTGACTTCCCTTCCCTGCCACTCATCCTCACTCTACCAGGGCTTCCTGGGTCAGCTTTCACATAAATGCCCTGCCCTCCTGGAGAAACCCCTACCCCTCACAGCACACAGCCTCTCAGGACTAAGGGGAGACTGAGCATCTTTGGGGCCAAATATTTGCTCCACAGCTACTGGGAGACTTTACAGTCCTAGCGGGAAGGGCCAGGCCCCCAGAGCCGGCAGTCCGGCCCCAGCCTGGGAAAGGGGTGGTCCTCACCTGGATGCACCGCCCAAGGAGGCGCTGGCTCAGCACGCGGAGAGAGACACGCCGGCAGTACAGCAGGCCGGCCTCACGCCAAAGAAGCTTATCCGCGGCCGTGTCGTAGACGGCGTAATTGCTCATGTTCTCCTTCAGCGCCTTGAAGTCATGCTTCAGGTCGTGACCCACCACCAGCTTGCCTTTCAGGAGCTGCAGGATCTGGCCAGGAAGACACGCACCCTACACGTCACCCAGGGTACTTCAGGTGGGTCTGGGGCAACTTGGTGCCATCACGGGGGGCTGGCCTGAGCTGTGTGACTATGAGCAAAGTCCTCCTGGACTTGCTGTGTGACTATGAGCAAATCACCATCCCTCTCTGGGCTTGGAACATATATACCATCGATAAAATGAGGAGACTGGACCAGGCCCCTTCACCCTCAACAGTTTAGTGATGCCGGAAGGCCCATCCCAACTCCTTCCGTGGTTTCTGTGTGATAACAATGGCCATGGTCCCATGAGCCAGGCATTCGTTAAGCATCACATACATTATGTCGTTTAATCCTTTTAACAGCCCTCCTGTGGCAGGCGGGTTGGCCTCCCAGAGATCCCACTCCCTAATCTCCAGGCCCTGTGAACATGTTACACGGCAAGGGAAAATTAAAGTTGCAGATGGAGTTGAAGTTGCTAATCAAATGACCTTAAAATAGGGAGAGTTTCTGGATGATCCAGGTGGGCCCAGCATAATCCCAAGGTCCTTATTTGTGGAGGTCAGAGAGATCTGACATGTGAACTGGACAGGCTGCCTCTGGCTGTGGAGGTGGAGGAAGGGGCTGAGAGTTAGGAACAGGGGCAGCCATAGAAGCAGGCAAGGGCAAGGAAACAGATCCCCCTCCAAAGTCTCCAGAAATGAACACGGCCCTACTGACACCTCGATCTCAGCCCAGTGAGACCCACATTGGACTTCTGAACCACAGAAGTGTAAGACAATAAATTTTCTTTCTTTTAAACCACCCAGTCTACAGTTCTGTTATAGCAGCCATAGAAAACCCATACAGCTATGAGGGTTGTGTTTAACTGAATTTTACAGTTGAAAAAACTAAAGTGTTAAGAAGTGGAGTAATTTGCTCAAGGTGACTCTGATGAATTTAAAATATTTGCAGATTCCCTGACACTCCTCACAGAAAAGATGGAGCCTAATTCCCCTCACCTTGAATATGGGCCGGGCTGTGTGACTTCTGATGTCTCTGTGGGGCCAGTGTCCCGGGAGCCCTGAGTTACCCTGAAGCCACCATGCTGGGGAGACCACCCTGACGTAGGGAGATGTGCCCAAGGAGCCCCAGCACCAGCCACGGCACAGGTGGGTGAGCGAACCATCCTGTGATTCTAATCCCGGGCCTGCCAGGTGCCTCAGCCAACCAGCTGTCCCCGTCTGCTGAGCCCTGCCCAGATTGCAGATGCCTGAGCGACATAAATATTGACACTGTTTGGAGCACTACGTTTTGGGGTGACGTGCTAAGCGTCATTAGATAACTGGGACAAGTCACACGGTTAGTTCGTGTCAGGGCCAGCCCTCAAAGCCAGCTTATCACCACCACATTATGCTGAAAGAGCCGCCTGCTCCTGGCCTCCGCCAGCCCAGCGGCCAAGCTGCAGAGGGCAGCCCTCCAGGTGCCCCAGTCCTGTGCCCTGCACGTACGCCCAGGCCTCCATTCTCACCTCCTCTCCCACGGTGGCCCTATGGAGAGCCTCAATCACTGGCCACACAGGTGGGTCACCTTTCCTTCCCCTGGCTGCCACTGGGGAGGATGGAAGGGGGACCTTGGGGCGAGCTGTACCAGGCGCCAGCTGAAGGGCAGCTCATGGGCATCTCAGGCCCACCTAGGACAGCTCTCCGGCAGCCTTCATCTCTTCCTCTGTGCCCCAGGAAGGAGCCCTCTGGATGGCTAACACCGTCCGGTGTCCTGCTTCTGCTTCTAGTGGCTTCCCCAGACATCCCACAGGGCGTTTGACTTGCTCCCCCTTGTGGCCACTTTGCAGAAAGAAGCTAAGGCTCCAAGAAGTGAGGTGACCTGTCCACGGTCACAGCACTGGAGGCAGAGTCGGTCCATCCACCGTCAACAGATAATGTCACCAGCCTGCCCCACCGGTACCATGGTTTTCTTGGGGTCCTCCTCTGGACAGACCCTCACCCAACCTAGGGACTGGAGAAAGCACTCAAAGAATAAAGCTGGGCCACTCCTGAAGGACACCAGTTCTTGTCACACTTGGGCTCAGGAATCCCCTGGTGAATCTCACCAAAATCTGGATTCGGATGTGGGATTCTGCATTTCTAACAGGTGGTGCTGATTCTGCTGGTCTGTGGGTCACCCTGAGTAGTAAGGGTACATGACCTCAGAGCAGCAGCTCGAGAGGAATCCTACATGTGGAGGAAAGGGCTCGGGCAGCACGCAGGGGAGGGGTAGAGGCCCAGGGCCAGTGGATGTGGCTGTGCTGGGCAACTGTGGGTCACACATCTTTCCTTGCTGACATCCTTTATGTTTCTGAACAATGGGGCCTGTTTTCCTGTCTATGAGCTGACTCTGGTCCAGTTCACACAAAGCTCGGAAGGGACTGTGCCACCCTAGAGTCAGCCACAGCAGCCAGTCCCAGGCGTAAGAGGGCCAAGTCATTGTGAGGTAGATTCCTGGGAAATTCATCACTTCCCGAGCCCCAGGGTCCCGGTGGTGGTGGCGGGGGGAGGGGTACATTCAGGACCATGAGACTCATCATAAGACAAATAAAATAAGAGGTGCACAAGCAGAAGGAAGGAAGAAGTAGGGACAGGAGACCAGTCTGTTTAGCAGAGAGATGCCAACTCTTCAGGACAAAGATGCTGGGCACCGGGCAGGGAAAGGCTGCTGGGACTCGCTATGCGGCGTCAGGGAGGTCGAAGACAGTCTCTGGGCTTCAGTTTCCCCATTTGTAAGGTGAGGGCCTGGAGAGGTGAGGCTCCACGGACTTTCTGTGGCAGGGCTGGGAGGGAAACCCAGGGTGGTGTGGAGGTGCCAGCTGGAGGGGCCTCAGGGCTGCGTGACCTGCTGGCTTCGGACCTGCCCTGAATCAGTGTCATGAGGCGGGTGTGTCAAACACATGGGAGGGAGGCTTAAATTCCTGGAAAGAACTGGAGTGGGTGGGGAAAGGGACATGCATCGATCTGTTCTCATTGCCTGCCACTGGGCCAGGTACTTACCTCATCATGGGGCCTCTCAACAAGAATATTCTTAGTGTCATTTTATAGTGAAGGGGGTTGTGGATCAGGGAGGGTAAGAGGCTTGCACAGGTCACACAGCTGGTGAGTTGATTGCTGAGATGCAGTGTCCGGATCTGCCTGACCCTGTCACTATTATCACAGTTATTATTATTACTACCTACTGAGAACCTAGGGATTATATTAGCATTTTTAATTTCAGGGTGCAAATTAATAATTTCTACTGCTGGGCCCATGACGGCACTCACTGAAGATTTCTTGAATCAGGAATATGGCCCCTATGAGGCGGGGATTGTCATACCATCTTACCAACAGGGAAAGGGGGGGGTGCCAGTGGTGTGTACCCATGTCACACGCAGAGGAGTGACAGGCCCTGGTGTCTGCCCGAATTCTCTTTCCACTGTGTTTTCCCTCTAGTCCAAGTATTTCCCAGGCCTGATCAAAAAAATCACCCGAGACCCTTATTAGAAATCCAGAGGGCAGGGCGCTACTCCAGACCTGCGGAATCAACATCGCCAGGGGAGGGGCATTAGCAAGTGTTCCAGGGTATTCTTCCCATCTGCCAAGTTTGGAAATCCTGGCACGGATGACTGTCCGGCCCCTTAGAGCCCGCTGCTCCCATCATGCATCCATTCTTCCATCTGCCCGTTCATTCATTCCTGGCTGCCAGGAGACGTGATTATAAGGGACTCTGAAGAATGTTGCCCTTGTGGAGGCCCAGGTCCCCTACTGGCATCTTCAGGAGTGGCCCTGGTCCCCCTCTTTCCTTCTGTCCCCTGCCAAGCTCTCTGGGTACCCCTGCCCCCAGCTTCTGTCTGCTTACCCGGGGTAAACCTGGATGATGAAGTCATCCTCCTCCATCTGGCTGAGCCCCAGAGAGACCTGCCAGGTGGCAGGGCCCCGACAGGGCACTCCAACCCAGGCAAGGGCTACAGCACTGGTACAGCTGAAACCAGTCCCTGTTCACAAGCTACTGTGGCTTCCTTTCTGTTTCCCACCTAAACCACGATGCCACACAAGATTTAGTTTCTTTATCTGCAAACTAAGAGTATCATTATCATTCTCCAATCCCAGTCATGGGCTGGATGCTACTCAGCATACCAGGTTAACATTAAAAGAGCCTTTACTTACAAAAATGAGTTACAGTCTATGGACAATTACCGTTAGATTAAAAAATGAATTAAAAGAGCATTGACCTGTCAGGTGAGAGCCCTGCATCTGAGCACTGAGTTGTAGCCCAGCTTGCTGTGTGTCCTTAGCAAGTCACTGCCCCTCTCTGGACCTTGATCTCACAGGTTGCTTCCTGTGCTGACAGTCTGATTTGTGGGGCTCTCTGTAGAACAGGGTTCTCAGCCTTGGGACTACTAACATTTGGGGCCAGATACTCCTTTGGTGTGAGTGTGTGTCCTGTACATTGTAGGATGTTCATTCAGTACCATCCCTGGCCTCAAGCCACTGGATGTCAGTAGCAGCCTTCCGCACCTCACTTACGCAATCAGAAATGCCTCCAAATCCTCCTGCACTGTTGGTGGTAATGTAAATTGATACAGCCACCATGGAGAACAGTATGGAGGTTCCTTAAAAAAATTAAAAATAGAACTACCATACGACCCAGCAATCCCACTACTGAGCATATACCCTGAGAAAACCATAATTCAAAAAGAGTCATGTACCAAAATGTTCATTGCAGCTCTATGTACAATAGCCAGGACATGGAAGCAACCTAAGTGTACATCAACAGATGAATGGATAAAGAAGATGTGGCACATATATACAATGGAATATTACTCAGCCATAGAAAGGAACGAAACTGAGTTATTTGTAGTGAGGTGGTTGGACCTAGAGTCTGTCATACAGAGTGAAGTAAGTCAGAAAGAGAAAAACAAATACCATATGCTAACACATATATATGGAATCTAAAAAAAAAAGAAAAGAAGAAAAAAAATGGTCAGAAGAACCTAGGGGCAAGACA